AGTAGTATATTATTTAATATAACTATAGTTTTATATAATTATGAATTGCGGTTATAATTTAATGAAATTTGTTATAAAGAATTTCAGGTGTTTATATAAATTCTAGTTGTATATATTTTTATATTTGTATACATATTAATAATTTTGTTATAAATATATTTTTATTTTTTGTTGTATATTTTCTTTCGATACCCACAATACTTTATACAAACCAATTGTATAATTTTAGCACTCATATACAATTACTTATTTGTCTATTTGTATATAATGTTACTTGTATAAATCCAAAATGTATAATTTATATTATTTTTTTAAAAGCAAAATATTCGACTGGTTAATTATCTCACGTTAATTGTTTTTTATAAAACCATTAAAAATCGTTAATCCAATAGTCATAAACTAATAACACCTTTTCGATTTGGTTTATCGATTGATTCGTTTTTGCACATATATCCCTACTCTTCACTCATATCCCAAAAGACAGTTCAAAGAAAAGAGGATTGATCATGTTTTATAAGGAGAACTCCAAGGTTCTCATCCGATTCGATGTGGGATCACCCCACACTACACCAAAAATGATCATTAACAATAATTATATAACGACAATAGGTCAATTGCCGATAAATATGTTTTTTAGAAATAATTAACACTTTTTGTAAGTGTTTCTAAAGTATATATTGACGTTGGATCCATTGACAATTAACTAGTATTAATAAATATTTTAACACTTTTTATTAATATGCATATTCATCACCATTAAAAAATATTTTTGTTGTAGTGTCACCATCTCTCCTTTCATGCCCATATCCAAACATTCACACACTCATTCATGGTTTGAGGGGATTGCCCGAGCCTCATACTCGTCCCAGTCTTATGTGAGATTATTTTCATCAACACTAATTTCTATATAATTAGTTTATTAATACGTGCACGACTTTGATCAATATTTTCCTAGTGATAGAACGTTTTCTATAATCTATTACACTCTTCATTTTTTTTATATGTCATTTTTATTATAAATAGTTGATTTATAATATTTGTCATTTCATAAAATTAAAAATAAAAACATATAAATAAAAACGGAGGGAGTATATGTAAAGGAGCTGACAAGGATTCAACTGAAAAAGAAATGTTTGTCATAAATGATGTCTATCAATAATTGTTTGGACAATTTTCTTTGCTTTGTCAAATCGTAGTAAAGTGGTTGGCCTCTCTTGTCAAAGTTATTTCTTTTTCAAAACCACATTTGGTTAATTTCTTTCAATTTTATGAAGATTCCTTAAAGAAAGAAAAAGAATCAAAGGAAATTATTCCGTCCGTTCTATTTTATATCTCATTTTATGATAGGGATTGTTTTTTTTTTTTTCATTTGAGTCGGGTTTGAAGGTGTAAAAATAATGAATGAGGTATTTTTTTAAAGTCAGATGAAATTTTTCATAAAATTTGTACAATTGAAGTTAGAAATTTAATTTAAAACTTTAAATTGAAGTTGAAATTTGTTCAAATATCATAAACAAGCACATATTTTAAAATAAAATTCACCTTAGGTACTCTTTTAAGTTTGTGTAAGGCAGAGAATATTTAAGGACCTAATGGAGAACATGTAGTAGAACCTGTTTGTCCAATTTTTTTATAAATTAATTATTTTGAGAAATAATTTTATCAAAAAGTTTCTTTAATGTAAAGTACTTTTGAAGAGAAAAACAATTTATTTGACCAATTATTCGAGAAGTGTTTTTTTAATATTTGACAAATATATCGTACTTGATCAGTTTTTAAAAAAAAAAAGTATTTTGAATGTCAATTTACAAAAAATGGTATTTATATTTGAGAGCTATTGTATTTTCTCCCTCCAATTTATTTGATATTTATTTAATGAATTTACTTGTCCTTTTTCTCAACATTCATATGAATGGCTTGCCTCATTTGGTAGTTGTTGAATGTCATTTTTTTGGTACCCCACATGCTATACTGTTGCCCAACTTGCTTCTGTCTTTCATTAAGTAGGCGTTTGGCCATGCGATATCATATCACGATATGGTATCGTGAGATGAAATCAGCGTTTGGACATGCGATTTTACGCTGATTTCATCTCATGATTCCATATCATGAGAGGTGATATCATATTCTCCAAAAACCATGATATGAAATCACCATGTGATTTCATATCATGATTTGAGATATTTTAATACAACAATTGATCCATGAGTTTATATTTTGTTAAA